TTATTTTCAGGGAAACAGGGTAGTATTTTCACATGTATTACTACAGCTGGCCACTAGAGGGAGTTAGACACCATGCTATGTATTCTTCAACCAAAAGAATACGTAGCATGGTCTCTGGCTCCCTCTAGTGGCCTGTTCTGGTAAATACATAATGGAAATATTGATTTCTAGGGGTTTTTTTTCTTTTAATATTTTTAATCTCTTTAGACCATGGATAAGTGAAACCATGGATACCCATCCTGCAGATATGGGGGTCCTACTGTAGTGGGCGATTGTGTTTCCTGTCATACACCAGTCACATGACTGGGCACATGACAGGAACTGCAGACGCCATCTATTTAACTACAGGCAGTTCATTGCTAAAATGTACAGTGGTGCCCTGCATAGCGAGGTTAATCTGTTCCAGATTAACCATCGCTATTCGGAAACATCCCTTAATGGAATAGAAAAACCCATTGGAACGCATTAAACTTCGTTAATGCGTTCCAATGGGCCCTAAACTCACCGTTCAGCGATGTTCCTCCATAGCGCATTTTCACGCCCTTGGTAAGCGAGGGCAGGGCGCGAAAACGCTGTGTGCGGCCATTTTGGGTCTTCCGGCGGCCATTTTGGAACCACTGATCAGCTGTTCCCCCGACATCGCAATGCAAAGATCGGTAAGCGAAACGCTTACTGATCGTCACAAAGTGAATTTTGCCCATTGGAACCATCAGTATGCGATCGCATTAGCGATCCCGAAAAACAGATTGCTATGCGAATTTGTTGTTAAATGGTGCGCTCGTTATGCGAGGCACCACTGTACTCTGTTGGACCGAAAGGCAGTGTAAATTTTTAGGTGGATCTGGCCAATAACTTTAGCCCCCTTTTTGCATACCATTGATGTTTTGTCACCTCTGAGTCAATGTCTTCCAGCTTGGGAAGGCGTCTTCACACCTTTTCACAGGAAGACCATAGCCAGCAGACCTTTGCAAAGGCTACAGCAAGTAACTGTCAGGCTTGCATGTCATTGTCTACCCCTTCATTGGCTTCCAAAGGAAGGTGGGATGAAGAAACGTCCTGTTAGATCAGGAAAAAACCTTGCCTAGCTCAGCATCCTGCTTTCCACCGTGACCCAACTAGATGCCTCCAGGATATCCCCAAGCAAGGTGTGAAACTGTTGCCCCTTTTCAGTTGGTGGTTCTGAGTAGCTGTTTTGTTGCCCACTTGAATAAGCCTGTGGTCGTATGTTGAGTGTGAAGCAGAGTGTGAAGGTCCTTCTATTCCTTCCTTGGTTGTTGTGGGCTGTCAACCCATTTCCATCTCACTCTGACCCTGTGAATGAGAGAACTTCTGGAAGACTGGGTTGTTAATAGTCCTGGTTCAGGTTTTGCAAATGAAAAGCCATAGCTTCCTTTATTGAGTTAATGCCTCTCATGCTCGGTCTTCCTCTCTTCCTGCTGCTTTCCGCTTTTCCCAACATTCTTGCCTTTTCAAGCAAATCCTTTCATGATGGGCCCAAAGTTATTTCTAATTGATTTTTAGGCCCTTCTTCTCTTCCAGGGCTCTGAGAAGTAATCTTTTTGTCTTTCCAGGAGGTGACGTGCAGAAGACAGAAGAAAACGAACCCGAACCATACAAATGGGTGGGAAAAGCCAGTTGGGAAGAGTGGTGGACAAAAACTGAGGAGAAAGATCGGTGGATGAGGGAGTTTTCTCTTTTGCACAACGCGGACTTTTACGAAATCCCAATCCGAGAAAAAACAGAATGGAGCCAATGCATTCTTTGTGGGGAAAACGTCAGTGGTAAATCCAACCTCGTTGCTCACTGGGAGAGTCACACCAGGAAGAAACTGCATAAATGCTTGGAGTGTGGGAAGAGTTTCGGGTCGAGCAAATATCTCATTTGTCACCAGCGAATCCACACAGGAGAGAAACCGTATAAATGCACCGAGTGCGGACAGAGTTTCTGCTGGCCCAACTCCCTTACATTACACCAGATGAACCACACAGGGAAAAAACCCTTTAAATGCTCGGAGTGTGGAAAGAGCTTCAGTAGAAGGGGAAGCCTCGCTTGTCATCGAAGAATTCATACAGGGGAGAGGCCATATAAATGTCTGGAATGTGGAAAGCAGTTTATTCATAGCACCAGCCTCACTTACCACCAACGACATCATTCCGGAGTGAAGCCGTACAAATGCCTGGAGTGCGGGAAGCGGTTCAGTCACAGGACAAGCCTCAGTTACCATCACCAGCATCACTCGGGGCAGAAACCCTATAAATGCCTGGAGTGCGGGAAGAGCTTCAGCACGAGGCAGTACCTCACATGCCATCAAAGAATCCACACCGGGGAAAAGCCCTACAAATGCCTGGTGTGTGGAAAGATGTTCATGCACAGTGCAAGCCTCAGTTACCACCAGCGTCTTCACACGAGGGAGAAGCCACATCAATGTGTGGAGTGCGGTAAGAGCTTCACCTCAAGACACAGCCTCGTGTGCCATCAAAGAATCCACATCGAAGGAGCGCCGTTTCAATGCCTGGAATGCGGAAAGAGCTTCAGAAGGCGCACCAGCCTGACCTCCCACCAGCAAAGCCACATGGGGGTGAAGCCCTACCAATGCTTGGAATGTGGGAAGAGCTTTACAACCAGCAAATACATCATTGCCCATCAGAGAATCCACACGGGAGAGAAGCCATTTAGATGTTCGGAGTGTGGTAAGAGCTTCTGTTGGGCCAACTCCCTCAGTTTACATCAAATCGTCCATACCGGGGAGAAGCCACATAAATGCTTAGAATGTGGGAAAAGCTTCAGCAGGAGCACCAGTCTGAAGGCCCATCAGAGAATCCACACTGGGGAGAAACCCTACAAATGCTTGGTGTGTGGAAAGAACTTCAGCACTAGCCGATACCTCGCCAGCCACCAGAGGATTCACATCGCCGATAAAGCCTTTAAATGCTTGGAATGTGGGAAGAGCTTCAGCACCAGTAAGTACCTCACTTGCCATCAAAGGATTCATACCGGGGAAAAGCCGTTCCAGTGCTTGGAGTGTGGAAAGAGCTTCTGTTGGTCTAACTCACTTGCTTTACATCAAAGAAGTCACACAACAGAGAAGCCTCTGAAATATTAGAAGAGAGCCCAAGGAAAATGTTTTACTTCTCATCCCCAAAGTTATGCTGGGGAGCCCAAGAGGTATCTACAGAAAGAGCTTTTGCTCCGAGCAAAGCCTCACAAGGTGTTCGAATCCATAGCGGAGTAGGAAACGTGTTGTTATAGCGTGACCTCAGTGAAATAAACAAATGAAAAGAAACCTGTAAAGATTCTGTGCGGGGGGAAAACCACGGAAACACCTGGGCTGTGGAAGGGGAGGTTCACTTCAAGCAGAAGTCTCTCCTTCCTAGCAAAGAATTCGCTCAGAACAGGTACCGTCTGGAGGTTTGGAGATGTGTATATGTGTGTATGAGTGTGAACTTTAATGAACCACACAAGAGTCTGGAGAGAAGAAGGAGGAATTTCATGCCCAGTACAGGCCATAGGGGCCAATTTGGAGTGCATCAGGATGACCATACTTGTCGTTAGTCTTAACAAGATGGCGTTCATGGGAGTCAGGACAGAGGTGATCCCACCTCTTCTGGGTAAAGCGCCGCCTTCACTTAGCAACCCGGTGTATAACCTGGTGTTCCTGCTAGAAACAGCTTTGCAAGGCCAGGTTATGATGTTGTCTGGAAGGGACTATTCCAGCTTCAGCGGGTGTATTGCCAGCACCCCTTTTATTATGGAGCTGGATTGTCATTAAGAAGGGCTGGAGGAGACCTAAGCCCTGTTTTAATCTGATTGTTGCGAACTGGTTGTCGATGGAAAGCCCACCCACAGGATAGGAATGCCCTGCTGCCTCCATTCTGGATCTCTAGCACCCACACTTCGGTCGTTTTCAAGCTATTTATTACGGATGCCTTTGAAGACTGTCTGGTTCAGGCTGCCGTGCTGTCAAGTCTTGCAAGCAGTTTACGGTTCGGATTTTGTGTCATTTCACTGGGCTCAGGCTCAGTTGAAAGTGTGGCTCATGACTTCCAAAGGCATGGAGGGGACAGGACTGTCCAGCAGTGGCAGTGCGGCCCAAGGGACGGAGCCTTTTGAGTGTTGGTGCCGAGACAGCGGCACAGCCAGCTGACGAAATTTCACTTGGCCTTGTCTTGGCTCATCTTTTCAGAAGGAATTGAAGACACCTCTTTTATATTCAGTGTCCTGCTGCCATTTAGAAAAGGGATATTTGGATTTCATGGACAACAGATTCCATTGTTCCCCTATTCCGAGAGTTCTACCTGACTTACGGATACCTAATGTGGCTCACCTGGGAGAAAAGGCCTAAACTGAAAGGGTTTGAGGCCTAGCTAGGCCTAGCTTCCTGTTCAGAAAGAAAGATCCCAGGGAACCACTGGGACAGGAACAGGAAGCTTGGTTAAAGCTTTGTTGTTGTTGTTTATTTGTTTAGTCGTGTCCAACTCTTTGTGACCCCATGGACCAGAGCATGCCAGGCCTTCCTGCCTTCCACTGCCTCCCGGAGGTGGGTCAAATTCATGTTGGTCACTTCGATGACACTGTCCAGCCATCTCGTCCTCTGTCGTCCCCTTCTCCTCTCGCCTTCACACTTTCCCAACATCAAGGTCTTTTCCAGGGAGTCTTCTCTTCTCATGAGATAGCCAATAGGATCTGTCCTTTCAGTGAGCATGCAGTGTTGATTTCCTTCAGAATGGATAGGTGTGTTCTCCTTGCGGTCCAGGGGACTCTCAAGAGCCTCCTCCAGCACCATAATTCAAAAGCATCAATTCTTCGGTGGTCAGCTTTCTTTATGGTCCAGCTCTCACTTCCGTACTAGCTAAACCTCAGAGTCTTTCATTTGAAACCTTTCCCCCAGGTGAGCTGCACTGAGGTGTCTGTAAGGTATGAGTCAGCTAAAACTTCCGGAAAGGAGAATTTAGGGATATGTGATCCAAGAAATCTGAAAATCCCATCCTTAATGGCCCTTTTCTCACTGCTGCCATTTGATTCTCACCTTGATCTTTGCTCCTGCAAAGCTGAAGCTATGGCTATCTCCAATAAGAGGAGCCATCTCCCATTCAATCATCCTCTTCTGCTGCTGTCTTTAACTTTCCCCAGCATTCCCATCTTTTCAACAAGTCTTGTTTTCTTGCAATGTGCCTGAAGTTGGACTGGACTCTGAGAACGGAAATATTGCTGCTTAGCCTTCTCCCTCATAAACTGTTTTACTTCAGGCCCACAGTAGAAACACAAACCAGCTTCAAACTGGTTTCAGTCCATTTTTCAGCAAGGGAATTACCAAGTCCCCCAAGTGGCAAATATTCGGGGGACACATTCCTCAGTAAAGGTATACTGAGCAGCTCACCCCTGTATGTTGTTCAGATTTCAGAGGGCTTTCCCTGAAACCACATTGCAGTTGCCAAAGGAAAAAGGGCGGGACTCCTTGATGGTCTCCTTTCAGCTCTGCAGATCTAAGATTATTATGAGAACTGTGGTTTAAGTCTCTGGCTGCTGAGCCAGAGATGAGGAGTTCTATTTCCCGTTGTGCCTCCTTGACAGGGGCTGGACTTGATGATCTATGGGGTCCCTTCTAGCTTTGCAGTTCTAAGATGATGCAGGTAGTCCCCTCCTAGATTTTTTCAGAATGGGGAAGGGGATACCATCTTTACAAGGTGGGAACCTTCCAACGGTGGTATCATGGGGAAGGATTGCATGTGTGGCTATTCGAGGGAACCGATGTAGTCAGAGGTTCCTCATAGACATGTAGGGCTTCACAGGATCCCCAGGGATCAGCCAAGCCGGCCCCTTCCCATGACGGGAATGCCACAACTAAAGCATTGCAGCCAGCCAGCCATGCAGTCTGTTTAAATCACCATTTAAAACTGTAAAGCTAGAAGGGATCCCATGGGTCATCAAGTCCAGCCCTTGTCAAAGAGGCCCAGTGGGGGAATCGAACTTCCAACCTCTGGCTGTGCAGTCCGAGACCTGAACCACTGCAGTTCAAAAGCTCTGGATGTCTCTCGTTCAGCAAAAAGACAAAGTCTTGGGGCAGTTGTTTGCGCCCACTCCCAGGGACGATACAAAATAGGAGCAAGGACCCAGAGAGGTCTTAAAGGCTTGGATCCAGGCTGAGAGTTTGCCTGTACTTTGAAGTTTTTTTTTTGGGGGGGGGGAGACATTTATTTTGGAGCAACCACAAAAAAGGCGCTTTAGATGGGAAGACAAAGGAAGGCCTTCGTGATAGTGACTCCCAGGCTTGGACACTTCTTGCCAAGGGAAGTTAGGCTGGTTGGCCACCATCCCTTTCCGCCATCAGTCAAAGTCCTTTTCAGTCTTGGTGGGCCAGGAGTAGTTGACCTCACTTACTGAGGAAGGAAGGGGCTTTTAACAGGAGGGGTTGTTGTGTTTTTTGTGTATGTGTTTTCTTCAAAGGGTGTTTTACATCTTTATTCATTCAATGTACATGTACTATTTTACCATCAGCCCCTCTGAATCCCATTTGTGGGAGAAGGCGGGCCAGGAAGCAGAAAAAATAAATAAATTTAAAGTATGGCATAAAGTTTCATTTCATGGAATCCACTGAGTAACTGTTCTCCTGAATTACAGATATACAATCAATTGGTTATGTACCATTGGGGTGTTTCAGACTTAGGGCAACCTTTAAATATTTTTTAAAAAGTTTCTGTGATATTTAAGAAATGGTTTTATCATTGTCCTCCCTCCCCAGACCAAGGAAGGATTTGAACACAGTCGTAGTCATTGTCTAATTTATTTGTATATTGCCTTTTCCACACTGCATCAGGTTCAAAGCTGTTCACAAAAACAAATAAATACAGGATCTATTAGTACAGTCATAACACACCATCATGTTAATACAGCATTACGTGACATCATACTGTAACATCCATAAAACTAAAAATCGTAACATTACGACTCTGTAAAAAAAGGTTTGACACCTTCAAGAACAAACCGCACATAAAGAGGTCAGTCAACGGTCTGCACTATCAACGTGATACGTATGTCACACACTTGGTTCAATGGGTCAGTTCCTATCGAGAGATCTGCTGGAAAAAATCGCTTGCTCCTATCCGACTCTCAGCACAAGCAGGAAAAAAGGAAGAGGATACACCACAAGGCACTTTGGAAGGGGGTCGCCTGCAAGTCACAGCAAGAGACCCATCTCTTCACCAGGTTCCTATCCAGGACAACCTTGTTCCTGTCATTACTCCCTTCCAGCCGGGCTCAAAGTGGCAAAAATTGGTTTGGAGAGAGAGAGAGAGAAAAAGCCTCTATACACTTTTCGGGGAGAGGGGGGCTGGGAAGTTCCAAAGAACTAGTTACTTACTATGCAATCTCTTTCTCCAGTAACAATTACATTTACAATTGTCAACTCCATGACATTACAATTTCAACCTCACTCCTTTTCCATGGTGCCCCCCCTCCCGAGCCTGTGCCCATCTCTGGCGGCTTTTAAAGAGGGGTTTTTTAAAAAAATCCATTTGCACTCTGTTTTTCAACAGAAAACTTTCCTGTTATCAGATGTGGAAAAATGTGTCAAAATAAGTGTTTTTACCTGAAACAGGTTTTAATCGAAACCATATCTGATAGGGTTTATTAACATGGCGTTTAAAAAATGAAACACAGTTTTATTTGGTTTTCTTCCCCCTCACGTGGAACATCGTCTTTTAGGCTCTACATCATGTGTAGTATTAAAAATTGGTTAAGTTAGGGTTTAAATCAAGTAAATCAATTCTGATAAGTAAGCAGTGGGTGATTTCTTTTTAAAAAATGAGCTCTATAATCCCCTTGCCTTCTGAGGCGGCAATTCTGTACAACTCTACTAGGGCATAAATGTCATTGAATCCAGCAGGGACTTTTGTCCAGGCGGATATATGGGTGCAGTAGCTGTGAGGCAATAAATACCCTTTTCAACCATGAAGGATCAGATTGGCAAAATTTCACCAAAGAATAAGCCTCAGTTAAGCCGACCGAGGAATATTCTGAAGAGAACAGAGCAGGCAAAATGGAGTTCTCTCTGATGCCCGTCTAAGATCCCCTTGAGCCATGTGTGGGCAGTCAGAAAAAGGCTCCGCGGGTCCTTAGTAACTACAAAATTTGGTTTAAGCCAGAAATGGGCCATAAAATAGCTTGTTAGCCATAAAGTGGCCAGCTCCACTCCATTCTGTGGCTACTGAACACCTCAGCATCTCCTCCTTCAACCCGTTGAAAAATGAAAATTATGCCAATAATTTCCAAGTTTCTGGAAAGCACAAAGTCTCATTTAAAACAATGAGCTGTCCCATAGTTTCTTTTGACTTCTGGTTGCTTTAGTAAAGACTTGAGGAGAAAAAAAAGGGGGGGGGTCCAGATTCATAAGACTGCTTGGCTTGGGTAAAAATAAAGGTATAAATCTGTATTTATGTATTTTTTTGCAAAAGACTTCACAGCACAAGACCTCCAGGTGACAAGACCTTACCTTTTGTGTCAGGAACAAAATGTACAATGTGGTCTAAAACCCGTATTTGTAACTATTTTAATCTGGTTATGAATTCATTGCCTTGGGTCCCATTTCTGGAGGGGAAAACCGGATGTAAATCAAGGGCATAAATATATAAATACCATGTAAAATCCATTTGGAACACTCTTGAACGAACACATAATTTAAATATATATATATCCTGACTGTCCAACAGTCTATAGCTGAGATTTCTAGAACTTCAAAATTTTACTTTCTGGCATTACAGCTGGTCTGTATCAGTGTAAAAACAAAAGGAACTGGTACATCCATGGAAGTCTAGATTATAAATGAGAGACAAAGTCGCAGGATGTAGAAATTAGAATCAAGTTCTTTATTCTGAATTCTTTAAAACAGGTAGTTAAAAACCTCTGGCTCAAAGCGTTTCGACAAAGCCTTCTTCAGGAGCTAAGCATTATACAAAACCACAAGTCAGATATCGAATTGTTCACATATTCTTTTGAAAAAAATATATACACGACTGGCTTGGGACTCTTTACATAAATACATACATTTATACTGAGCACATTAGGCATGATGAAATATTAGACAGAATATAAATCACATACCGAGGACTCTTTACATAAATACATACATTTATACCGAGCACATTAGGCATGATGAAATATTAGAATATAAATCACATACCTAAAGATTCTTTATAATCTCTTTGCTCTATACCAACTCCAAAACTGATTGAAAGTGTTTGAAAGTGCCTGCAGTTGAAACCAGTTTTGGAGTTGGTATAGAGTAGAACAAAGAAAGGTGCAGAGAGTATAAAGAAGCTTGGTATGTGTTTTATATTTTGTCTAATATATTCTATCATGCCTAATGTGCTCAGTATAATGTATTTATGTAAAGTGGAGAGTTCCAAGCCAGTTGTGTATACAGTCGTGCCCCGCTTGATTACCCCATATAACAACGAATCTGCTTCACGACGATGTTTTTGCGACCGCAAAACGATGTTTTAAATGGGGTTTTTTTGCTTTGTGAAGATCGGTTCCCTGCTTTGGGAACCGATTCTGTGAATTACGATCAAAACAGCTGATCGTCGGGTTTTCAAAATGGCTCCCTGCTGTGTTTTTGGATGGATTCCTCGCTCTACAGGCACCGAAAATGGCCGCCCCTATGGAGAATCTTCGCTGGACAGTGAGTTTTCAGCCCATTGGAACGCATTGAACGGTTTTCAATGCATTTCAATGGGCTTTTTTATTTCGCTTTACGTTTTCGCTTTACAGTGATTTCGCTGGAACGAATTAATGTCGTTAAGCGAGGCACCACTGTATATTTTTTCCGAAAGAAAATGTGATCGATTCGATATCTAACTTCTCGTTTTGCATTATGATAAGTTCGCTTATGGAGAATCTTCGCTGGACGGTGAGTTTTCAGCCCATTGGAACGCATTGAACGGTTTTCAATGCATTTCAATGGGCTTTTTTATTTCACTTTACGTTTTCGCTTTACAGCGATTTCGCTGGAACGAATTAATATCGTTAAGCGAGGCACCACTGTATATTTTTTCCAAAAGAAAATGTGATCAATTCGATATCTAACTTCTTGTTTTGCATTATGATTAGCTCCTGAAGAAGGCTTCGCCGAAACGGGTTGAGCCAGAGATTTTGAGCCAAAGCTTTTTTAATTACTGTACCTGTTTTAAAGAATACAGAATAAAGAACTTGATTCGATTTTCTACATCCTGAGACTTTGTCTCTCATTTATAATCTGGATTACAGATGGTCACCCCAGATCAGATTTTGGTTGGGGAAAAAAAGGAACTACTCTGGACACTTCAAAGTCAGTAACAAAGGAGGATCCCAGATTGCCTTGAAACAAAACCTTACCATTATTGTGGAACCAAAGCCTTGGGTGCGAAACACCCAATTTTTGACCTCAGGAACTCCCACCCACAAACCCCCCCCTTTTTTTGGCAAGGTTGTCACTTCCGCTTCTTTGCCCTGACCCACTTCAATACAACTGGTAAGAGCCTCAGACCATGCAGATTTTACCAAGAAATAGAGCTTTTATTTTCAAACGCTATCGACTCTCCATTAGGAATGTAAAAGCCAGGGTTCGCACAGTATCCTCCATCGCTTCATAGTCCAGTTGCCAGTCTACAAACCCCCTTCCTCCATGGACCCTCTGATTAGTTATAGTAGGACCACGGTATCTGTAGGGAATTGGTTCCAAGCCCACTGCAGATACAGAAAAATGTGGATGTAGCGAGCATTATACACTTCTCTTTACTACAGCCCACTTCTGATAGATACACCCTGCAAATATGTATAAATACATATTTCTGGGACTACATATTTCTGGGGCTTTTTATATAGTATTTTCAGGCAGCGAATAAGTCAATTAGTGGATACTGATCCCGCAGATAGGAGGCCCTACTGTGTTTAGCCATCAGGTTTTTAATTTACTGTTTTCAAGTAGCGGATAAGTGAATCAGCAGATACTGATTCCGTCGATAGGTGGGTTGTATTGTAGCTGCAATGAGAGCACTTACAACAGAGAGAAAACAGTCCTTGAAATTGGGATAAATAGGGAGAGAATCAAGCTGTTACCCTTCCTAGCAACTCAGAAGCTGGCCTGGGATTGTTATTTTTTCCTACTACTTCTACAACAGCCAAAAAAATTCAGGTGCCTGTTTAAAAAGACATCTCTCGATATATCTTTTTAGGACATTAAAAGAATGTTTATCTCCTCTTGCTGCTTGTCTGCGTCGCTTTTCTAACAATTTAGCACACTTTTGTCAGTTGTGATATTAACGAAGTGCTTTTTAAATACGGAACCTGGTCTGTCAAACGTCCGGAGCTTCTAGCATGGTACATCCTCTGAAAGATCAGAGGTGGAGATAATAGATTGTTAGCTGCCTCGAGTTCTCCTCAGAAAACAAGGTGTATCAATGGAATTAATAGGAACAGCAAATAACTACACAGGCATGTACTCATCTCCTTAAGATGCAGTAGCAAAAAAACCAAGAGCATACGCTCACCTCTACAGCCCCTTGGTCAATGCCAAATGGGGCTGTTAAGGCTTTAAGGGTTTTGCGCTCCTGATCCAGGTTAAGTCAATTTGGAGTAACTCCCCGTAAAACTGGCCCTTTTCTATCCCTGTGTCTTGTGCTCGCCTGGTCCCACCGGGCCTGCCCTTCAACGGCTATGCTTGTTGAATGGGAAGTGGATCTGCTTGTCTGTGTGTTCATTGCCACAAAGTCTGCCCTATGAGTGCCTGATCTCCACCTCACAAGGGAACAGGAGAGTCAGACCAGACATTCACCCAAAATCCACAGTGGGACTTGATTTTGTAAACAAGGGGATCCAAATCATCTCATTCATTCTTGGTACCTAGCAAAAAAAACCATGGATCCTCTCTGGCACAAATCAACACCAACGGTAAGATGCCTGGGAGAATCCGATTTGAGCTTTTGCTTTTTTTTTCAGCCCGCCATCCACCCACCGCACATCACAACTGGTCTGTTACCCCCCAAATGGTTGTAATACTGTAAGGATGCACACAATTCAGTGTTTTTTTTTGGGGGGGGGAAATTGGTCCCATAAAGGTAGCACCTTAATATGGAAATCTGGATGTTGGTCTTTTGTACAGAAAGTCCGAACCTGGATATATGTGTTCCCTTGTGAGCTGTTCCGACTTTGTGTATAAAAGACCAACATCCAGATTTCCATATTAAGGTGCTACCTTAATATATATATATATAGCTTCTCTTTTATTTCCCTTGTTATCCTGCTTCTACTGTGAAGTTCCTTAATGCAGTGGTCCCCAACCTTGGGTCTCCAGATGTTCTTGGACTACAACTTCCAAAAGCCTTCACCACCACCTCTGCTGGCCAGGATTTCTGGGAGTTGAAGTCCAAGAACATCTGGTTGGGGACCACTGCGTTAACGTGGCATACACACTGCTAAAAAGGGTTACAAAGGATTTGTGCGCTTTCCTAGACCAGGATAGAACAGCCCTTGAATGGTGCGGATTCTGCCACTGTTTCACCCAATGAGAACTCCCGTTCTTTTCTCATCACCATCATCATCACCATATACCATGAAGTCAGTTCTGACTTATGGTGACCCCTTCTAGGGCTTTCCAGGTAGAGAATACTCAGAAGTGGCTTCCCATTTCCTTCTTCTGTGGCCATTTCTGGGACTTGCCCAAGGCTACCCAGGCTGGCTCTTCTCGCAGGAGGCCCCGTGGGGGAATCGAACTCCCAGCCTCTGGCTCTGTAGTCAACTAACTAAACCACTGAACTATCCAGCCAATAACCCACTCCATTCTGTATGTGCAGCACCAAGTTAACGGTGCACAACGCCGGACATCCGGAGCCCGAAAATACTCATTCATGAGACAGAAACGTTGTTTTGCCACTGGATTGCCACCAATAGGATCAGGACCGCCGGCAGGAGGTCTGGCCATGATTAAAGGCTCCCCCACCCCCACCGCCTCCTGAGGCTCCCAAAGCAAAAGGGAGCACTAGGGAGCCTCAGAACTGAAAAGGAAGAGGCAGGACAGGAAGCTTTTAATTACTTTAAATTGAACGCATCCGGTGCTGATCCATGTTCTGCCGGTGCAAAATTATGCCAACTGGTTTTTTTTCCCATTCCCCTTGTAATCAACACAATTGATTCCTCTTAAAACTCCAGCAAAAAGTGCTGTTTTCTGATCTGAAACTATGAAAGACTTGTTTTGAACCCAAGGAACTAGGAAACAAAGTTCAAAGAGGGATTATTTCTTTAAGCAAAGCCCTCATCCCAATGGAAGTGTTACTGAATGGTGAACACACTTAGAAGGGGTGCTCTGCGTCCGTCCAGTTGTGGGCCCTCTCAGTGTCACATTCTTCACGGTGAGAGAGCCGACTTTGAAGAGCACAGCTCCGATGGCAGTGTAGGTTCTACGAGCAAGCGGGATTTCCATGGCTTCTGCCCGTGTGTAGAGGCTACACGCGAGCAGGAATCTCTCACGGAGCCCTGTGGCCCTGAAAGCTGTGACCACACAGGTCGAAGCCAGACGAAGCCGCTCCCTCTAAGTTCGTTTCTAGTGCCCGAGGTTGAATAACACCGGAGTGGAGATTCCATGGAACCCCTTTCCTATAACCAGTAACTGTCTCTGTCTGAGAAATGTCCTCCAGCGAAGAGCCAACCCTGTCATACCGGAGACACCTAGAACATTTTATCCCTTCGATGCCGCAATAATTCTCAAATTATTCCTGGGCGTGATGCGGTGCTTGCTGGTTTTCCTTCTCTTCTTGCTCTGATGGGAAAGCCACCGCCTCCTCTTGGTACAGATGCTTACTCACATGTAGGCCAAAGGTGGAGCGCATCAACCAAATCTGGACGGCCTGATTCCGATCTGGCGATATCGTAGAGAGCATCCGATGTATCTCCGAACGGATCTGTTTGTTCCCAAGATCTATCAGGAAGCAGCCCCTCCTCCAACCGAATGTGTCGGGTTTCTCATTTCACGATGGCTTTGAATCCATAAAAGGTGGGCAGCAATGGCTTCCATGTCCACTAGACGGAAAACTAACACCCCTGAGTTGGCTTCCACAGAATCAAAGAACTATAGAGCTGGAGAGGATGCCAAGGGTCATCTAGGGACCAACTACCAGCCACGACAGGGCATCCACCATTGAAGAAAAGGGACCACCCAAATCTCTGCTTGAAAGCCACTACACCAAAGGAGAACCTGCCAGCTTGTGAGGTAGCCCACCCCACTCCTCAGCTCCCCTACAGGAAAAGTCCTTCAGAAATCCTGTTTCGCAACTTCCAGCAAGAGTTTCCACCAAGGTGGGGAAGAATCGCCATCGTTCCTTGTAATGATTTTGCATAACGATCTTCAGGTTTGTGAGAGCATCCATGGGTTAACATGTCAGCAGATGTCACAGAAGTTACGAGTGTCTCTCTCTCTCTCTCATAAGACATCTGTGTTTCATTGCCATCAAAACCCAAGGTTGATGATAAGAGGTTCTTTCTGTTGACATGGCTGCGTTTCTAGAGGATGTACGTAGGGTTTATAGACACACATTGAAGTCTTTGGTTAGTAAACCTGCTGCCCGTTCTGTGCTTTCCCACATTTCATACAGTGTGGAAATTTTGTTCAACCAGCGTCATCCCCTCACACAGTCCCCAAGCCGGACTTTGCACGGTGTCATATCCAGGCTGACTAAATGTCTCAAGTGGGAGGGCACACTCTCTTATCAAACACCATAGCGCTCTCCTGACATATTTTCCTCGTTTACTTAGCACGTCCAGTTGCAACTGAGATTTACTGGTTTAGGGTCTGTCCCTCGTGTGTTACCACTTTCAAGAACTGTTCAACGAAAACGGTACCCAAAGGCTGATTGGTCTACCCACCACGTTAGGTATCGTTCACTTCCTTGTTTTTGAGCTTCTTCAGCTTGGCGAGGTCAAGAAGCTTCCACCCTTCTGCCATGAGTAGACTTTCTTTCATGCCACACCCTCTTTGCTTGTTTGTTTCAGGGATGATGTGGTCAAGGAAGCTTTCTGTGAGCTCCTGGTCATTCACAAATATCTCCTCAGAGCTCCACTGTGAATTTTCCACACATATCTCCACCAGGCCCTTCCTTCCTTCCTTCATTTGGTCCTCCTTTGGTAGGATCAGATGAATGAAAAATTCACTCTCCTCCTTAAACTTCTGGGCCTCTCGTTTCTTGAACAATCAGGTTCATTCAAATCCACTTTTTCCACTTAGCTGCCATCTTAGCAAACCACAGATGATTCATGTAGACTGTAGGGTGTCAAGTTCTCAGTGCCTTTCTCTCTGCTTGGGGTGGCGAAGTTGTTACTCTTCCTCACGTCAAATTCCTCTGCATCGTATTTCCACCAGAAATAACACCACAGGACTTTTTTTAAAAAAGGAACATCGGCCGGAACATAAGAACTCCTGGTTGGCAATAATAAATCATTTGGTGTGACCTCTTCTGTGCCAGGATGTGCTCTCTCTCTCTCTCTCTGCGTCTGCATATGGGAAAAAGCGATATACGTCATGCGGCTGAACTTTGGAAACATTCTTACCTGAACTGTTGTAAACGCCATTGTAAAATGCACACCTTGCAGTCCTATTCTGTATGGATTCAGCGGTGAAACCAAGCTCTTCAGGGCACGATGGTGGCGTGTGAAGGTTAAAAACTGAAAAGCACATATGGGGGAAAGACATACATTGAGAAGCCAAAGGTTTCGTCATAATACATCATTTATCCAAACCAGTGGAGAGTTAGTTAAAGCTAATGGGAAAGTAATAAAATGCTAGGACTGCTTAGCGTATATAAAAAAAAGATAATTCCTTCGGTTCAGTTAGCGTCACGTTTGCAGTCCCTGGAACTGGAATGTCTCAGTCACATCCCCAAACTCGTGATTCTGACTCTTCAAGCGGAGAATAAGCCTGCTAGTCTCAAAACAACAAGCAGAGTTATTTTACGAGGTTTCACCCGCAGATACGGCTCACGCTGGAATGATTCTGTCCTCCAAACGTTTCTAGAATTCTCCAGTGCGGACTCTTTGGTGGAAGGTGAGGCTTTGTCCCGACTGGAGATCTTTCCACACCCCGAGCATTTGCCTGGTTTCTCCCCGGTGCGGATGGCCCGAGGCGAATCTCGGCCGGTGCTCCGCCTGAAGCGCCACGCCCCACGTGTGATTCCTCGCAACGTGGATCCGCTGGTGCCGGACAAGATCCGCGTTGGTCCAGAAGCTTTTTCCGCACTGCAGGCATTTATAGGGTTCCTCGGCTCCCGTGTGGACCAGCTGGTGCTTGGCCAGGTTCGTATTGCTCGAATAGTTCTTCCCGCACTCCAGGCATTTGAACGGCTGCTCCCCTGTGTGGACTCGCTGATGGGTCTTCAGGCTCTCCTTGTAACAAAAATTCATGCCGCACTCCAAGCAGGTGTACGGCTTCTCCCCGGTGTGGATCCTCTGGTGCCGACTCAGGTCCCCCTTCTTCTTGAACCGCTTCCCACAGTCGAAACACGGGTAGGGCCTCTCCCCCGTGTGGATCCTCACGTGGCAGCTGAGGTTGATGCGCTGAGTGAATGTCTTCCCACACAGCCCGCACTTAAACGGCTTCTCCCCTGTGTGCATCCGCTGGTGGGTCTTCAGACTCGAGTTGCAGCTGAAACTCTTCCCGCATTCCAAGCACTGGAAGAGCTTCTCCCCCGTGTGGATTTTCCAGTGAAGGTTTAAGGTCGACTTCGAGCTGAAGCTCTTCTCACACACTGGGCACTTGTGCCTCTCTTTGCCTTTCTCCATCTTGTCCTTGATCCGGATCACCTGGAAGTCGCTGCCCTGACAGGCCAGGGATTTCTTCCTCCCCCGCTGCCTCCCTTTCGCCTTCCTTCTTGGCCCTTCACCCTCTTTGCTGCCTCCGCGTGGCGACGGTGCCCCACGTGACCCCCGAGTGCTCTCCCTTGTCCTTGTGGTCCGTGGGACTTCATTGACTGCCAGAAGAAAAAGAGAGAGAGAGAGAAAGAACGAACGAAAGAATGAAAGAATGAAAGAACGAAAGAAAGAAAGAAAGATTAACCTGAGTTAAGAGCACAGCTGGCAACGGGAACTAGAGGTCAAAGAAAATATAACAATATTTATTTATTTATTTATTTTCAGTGGGACATGGTGGCGCTGCAGGTTAAACCACAGAAGCCTCTGTGCTGCAAGGTCAGAAGACCAGCAGTCATAAGAGCAAATCCACATGATGGAGTGAGCTCCCGTCGCTTGTTCCAGCTCCTGCCAACCTAGCAGTTCGAAAGCATGTAAAAATGCAAGTCCACCTCGGTGGGAAGGTAACGGCGTTCCATGTCTAGTCGCACTGGCCACGTGACCACGGAAACTGTCTTCAGACAAAAACGCTGGCTCTATGGCTTGGAAACGGGGATGAGCACAGAGCCCTAGAGTCGGACACAACTGGACTAAATGTCAAGGGGAACCTTTAGGTTACCTTACCTTACCTTACCTATTTGTTTGTTTGTTTGTTTGTTTGTTTATTTATTTATTTATAACGAACTAACTAACTAACGAACTAACTAACAACTCTGGGCAGTTTACAACATTAATTCATTAATTCACAACCAACTAACTAACTAACTAACTAACTCTGGGCAGTTTACAACATTAATTAATTAATTAATCCATTTAATTTCTATACCTCCCATCTGGCTGCTAAGGCCATTCCGGGCAGTTTACAACGAAATGAAACAGCATTAAATAAGGAGAACATAAGCATCAACGTAATGTAAAAAATAGAAGATATTTGCTAAAAGCATTTAAGATGGCAGAATTGGTAACTTAAGCGATGGAAAGGGCTCTGCGTTCTGTTCGTATAATGTTTTGGAATGCCTGTCTCAATCGCCAGGTTCTCAAAAGTTTTCCGCGAAGCGGTCAGGTGAATATCGGGTGGGAGTTTATTCCAAAGATGGGGTGCAACCACCGAGAAGGCCCGAACTGGTGTCGTGCGGGACATGCCCCACATGATCCAGATTCCTTAACTACGATCAACAGATCATATAAAAAAATTGTAACGGAATTACGCAAGAATGGGAATTATTAAATACAAATTAAATGTACACTGCATACGATTAGCTCTTAAAAAGTAGGAAATCCATAAGATAATCATTATAAAAATATTGATGGTACCCCATTTATTGCGGCAATCCAATACCGTAATTGTTAGCCAGGGATGGGCACAGGTCTGCCGAAAAGTAGCATATACAGTGCTCATCATCTCTTTTCAGAATGGAACGAGTTAAAAAAAGGTGATGGAAATCACTATAAAACGAACAGGACAAGCCCTACCATCTCCACCACACCATCCTCACAAGGGCATAAGCGTGCATCATAAAGAACATTCTAGTATCTTCCTTCCAACAGACCTGAGGGCGAGACATTAAGCTTTGCTAGTGTAGACGCTTTCCTGTAACCCACGTGCGCATTATGTGTCCTCATGTGACTAACGGCAACCCTTATTGAGTTTTCATGGTCAACGAGGGATTTAAGGAAGGGTTTTAACCTGTGCCACACACCCCATGCGAGTCCTAGTCCATCACTACTTCTACTACCACATATCCTATAAACCAGCGGTCCCCAACCTTTTTAACCTGTGGACCGGTTGGGGAAGGCGGGGCGCACCCCCCCATGTGCATGTGCGAAGGAACGGGCTCTCTCTCTCACGCGCGTGTGCGTGCTTTCTACATGGACATCGACGGCCAAGGAAAGGGAAAAGAAACTTACCCACAGAGGCCACATTCCAAAAATTCTCCTCCATGATGGCTCTGTGGAGGGACCTTTCATCGGGACCCAATAACGCCAGTTCCTCCTCATTGAAATATACAGCTACGTCCTCAAAGGTCACTACACCCTAAAAGAAGAGATTTAGTCATCTATTCAATTTACGTATATACTACACCCTAAAAGAAGAGATTTAGTCATCTATTCAATTTATATACTACCCCACAAGTACAACTGGGTGATTCACACAAGAGTAAAACTCACAAACCCTCAGAATCCAACACCAATCAAAAAATACAATTCAGAAACAACACAGTGACACAACAGACAGAAATAGGAATAATCCTATAAAAATCTGGAATTGATTTTTAAAAATTGATTTTATTGACATCATCACAGAGATTGAGATATAAAGGGCAGCTTTAAATAATTTGGGTTTTGCCATCTTTCTAAACATAAGGAGGGAGGAAGCCTAGTGTATCACTGTTGGTTTTTTATTTCAGAGACTAGAGGCCACCATCAAAAAGGCATTATTCCTCCTATTCAACTTTTTGACTCCCCAAAAGAAACATTTAACAACATGGATAGTGAGGAACAGGTGGGATGGATAGTTGGTTTCTCGGTGAGATGTTCCAATAAGTATTAAGATCCTAAGCCGTAAAGTGCTTTATAGGTCCTAACGAGCATCCTGAATCAAGCACAAAAACTAACAGGGAACCCATGAAGCCACGCCAAGACTGGAAATCTACGATCAAATTTACTGTTCCAGAAATCAGTCTGGAGACTGTTAATAAATGAGATTATTGGGTACAGAGGGGTGCCCTAAAATGAGAAGTTCTTTTAAAACTCAACAAGGTGCGTTAAAAGCAAAGATAGATAGATAGATAGATAGATAGATAGATAGATAGATAGATAGATAGATAGATAGATAGATAGATAGATAGATAGATAGATAGATAAGATAGATAGATAGATAGATAGACAGACAGACAGACAGACAGACAGATAGACAGACAGACAGATAAAACCTTTTAAAGCAAACGTACAAATGAAAAGTCCTCTGCAAAGATAGTTTATGTTACAAAACCAAAGCTCCTCACTTGTTTTGGTACAAAAGCTGCTGATCAGATAATCAGAGAGAAGTAGCTCACTCAGTTTTGTGTCAGTTTTCATAAAAAAGTAAATAACAGAACACTGATGTAACATGAAACATAGAGAAAAGAGGGAAACATAGTGTGTGTTTTATAATGCTGGCTTGTGTTGTGCTTAACTATAATGCTAATTAACAAAGGGATATCACAAAATACAGTGGTGCCTCGCTTGACAAGGATAATTCGTTCCGTTCAAATCGCTGTTAAGCAAAATCCTCGTCAAGCGAAATGAAAAAGCCAATTGAAATACATTGAAAACCAGTTCAATGTGTTCCAATGGGCGAAATACCTCAGTGTCCAGCGAAGATCCTCCATAGGGCGGCCATTTTCCGGTGCCTGTAATGCGAGGAATCTGTCCTAAAGCACAGCGGGGAGCCATTTTGCACAGCAGGTGGCCATTTATAGCGTTGTTAAGCAAAAAAATCGGTTCCCGAAGCATGGAACCGATCAACGTTAAGGGAAAAAAGCCCATTCAGTCATCATTTAAAAAACTAATCGTCAAGTGATTTCCTCGTCTAACAAGGTAATCGCCAAGTGAGGCACCACTGTAGATGTGGATATCTGTGTTCGCTCAGTGGTTTAGGTCTCTGGCTCATTTCCAGCTCTGCATTTCTAAGATGATGATGATTAAGATTATTATCCTGCATAAAATATCTGTGTTTGTTGATTTCACAGTGATGCTCTTAGCTTCCATTTACAGGAGTGCAGAAACAATGAAGACAACGATATGAACAAAATGGAAAGGACCACAAATTTCCAGCTTCGGGGGATACACAAGGACACCCTTATCTCTTCCTACTAATAGTTTGCTTCCTGGTTTCAAAATGCTGCAAGCCAAACAGCTGACAGGTTTACTCCCCTACCTCGTTCAGGTCCATAGAGGAGCCCTCCGTTCTGTCTCGAAGGGCGGGTGACCAAGAACGGACCCCTGATGTCATTTCATCACCTGTGGGAGAACAGTGAAGGTGAGAGAACAGTGCTTATTCTTGATTTACTTATTCTATTATTTATTTATTTTATACACTGCATTTCTCCCCATAGGAGGAGACCCGAGGCAGCTCATAGCAATTAAAATCATAGAATAATCACGTTAAGAATACCATACAAAATGATATATTTTTTTAAAAAAATTTTTTTTAAGGGGTCAGGATGCTCGGGGGTGATATAACTAGTGTCACATATTCTTTGTTTTTATTGATGTACTGATTTTATGTGTATCGTGCTTTCCTCAAAGCAAAAACCCCCGAGAACTCCACAGAGCACCTTAAAAACTCAATATGGTACAAGCAAATCCAGATGTAATTCTGAAAAGGGGATTTTGGAAAAAGTCTTAAAACAAGCATGCACCTTCAGGGCCCACCCTAACCCAAACCATAAAAGACAAAACATATGAACAACAGTCTGAAAACTTCAGACTGAAAGTCAACACATTTCAGGAGGAGTTAAAACATATTAACGTTGTTTTAGGGACAGAGCTGGCTGTGAGCCCTAAAGGGGTATGGCTACACTGTTATTTCAAGGCAGAAATTGAAGGAATGGGGAAAGATTATCCAGTGTAAAGACAGGCCACTGGTAATGATGGCCAAGATCATCCGCACTCTTGTACAGGTGAGCCTATACATTCATCACAGTCCTTGCGGGAAAGAACACAAGGGATCCTGGTCCGGCCCCACATGGATGGGATAAGACAAGGGGAGGAATCCAAATGGATGTCCCACCGGTTGCCAAGGGTGCAGGTAAAACAGCCACCTCGAAGCATTCCGTTTCTTCCAGAAACAATCAGGGTGGTCCAAACCTGACACCCACTCCTCTGTCTTTTCCCAAGGCACCGTATTTTTCAGTGTATAAGACGCCCCCATGTATAAAATGGCCCCACTTTTCTAACCCCAAATTAAGAAAAATGGGGCTTAGCAAGTGTAGGGGGAAAGGGATCAAAGCACTGGAGGATCACTTTGATCCCTGCTTTCCCCTCCACTTGTTTTTGTTCTTTCCTCAGCTTACTTCCGTGTATAAGACAACCCTCAATTTTTAGTCTAAAGAGACAAAAATATAGTCTTATACATGGAAAAATATGGTATGTCAACTAAGTTAGACCCCCAGAAAGAGACCTCAGAACCCACCCAGGCAAGAAGAGGAGGGGCCAGCAGGATGAAAGATGGCCAAGAGAAGCGACCATTTCTGGTGAGCATCTGCTCGCTGGGCTGGCTCAACTGCGAGGAAAGAAGGATCCCTTACCTAGAGGAGCCACGATCCCAAACTTCTCCTCCATGACATCTCCGTGCAGGGCCCTCGGGTTCAGATCTTGGAGGCTCCAGTCTTCATTGATGAAATAGACAGCCACCTCCTCAAAGGTGACCTCAAAGAACAAAACACTGTTTTGTGAACCAAAAAGTTCAGTGTCTGCTCTGATTCCACCGAAGGATCCCACCAATATCCACTGTGTGGAAATCTCACCTAGAAGAGCCCCTCCTCAAGAGTAGCTTCCCCGTCAAATTTCCAGCGGTCCAACTCCTACTCTTCTTTGTATATAAAGTTCTTCACTGATTGGCCCAAATCCTCTCGCGTGGCTACGCCAATGGTGTAACATTTGGAGGCAAACTGCCCCAAGAAATCACCTCAGACGTGATAAGTGGCATGCTGAGTCATCCAACTAAGTGCAACTAGTGATGTCTATGGTGTGATTTCTTATGTTAGGGCAACTGGACTTCCAAAATTACCGTATTTTTCGCACCATAAGACACACTTTTTCCCCACAAAACAGGGGGGTGGAAAGTCTGTGCGTCTTATGGAGCGAAGAAAACAGATTATATTTTCCTGTTTTCTTCTCCTAAAAAATTGATGTGTCTTATGGAAAGGTGCGTCTTATGAAGCGAAAAATACGGTACTCCATTTGTGCTAGGCCAGTGGAAACTGGCAAGATTTGGGCCGTTGGGTTTCTTTCCTTCAACTCTTTTGGTAACGGCCACCGAGTGGCAGACTTTTATGAAATGTAATGTATGATGTTGGGTCTTATTTATTTTTTTACCCTAAACTCATGGTAAGAAACCATGAATTTCCACATAAACTCATTGCTTACCCAGAAACCATGAATTTCCACATAAACTCATTGCTTACCACTCTCCTGTACCCTTTATGTAGTGCAGTAGGATGCTCATATCTATTAGGGATTGGTTTTAAACACCCCCCCCCCAAGGATGCTGAAAACCATGGATAGTAGCAAACACTATACATAGCATGGTGAAAGAAAAAAAAGTATTTCCACCATGTATTACCAGAATTGGCTACTAGAGGGAGCCAGAGATCATGCTTGTTATTCTTCAACAACAAGAATAGGTCTCTGGCTCCCTCTAGTGGCCAGTTCTGCTAAATACATAATGAAAATACATATTTTCAGCTTTTTTTCATTTAATATTTTCAAACTGCAGATAAGTTAAACCCTGGATACCAATACCACAAATATGGGGTCCCCCTGTATTACTGATATCAGAGACGAGAAACATTTGGTTTTTCTTTTTAACCACAACGTCCTGACACACCTTTAGGACTGAGAGATTCAATTTAGTGTAAATATTCGTGAATCACAACCCACTTTTCCAGAGGCATGGAGTACAATGTCAGTTTTTTGTTCTTGAAAATGTTGGGCCAACAGATTTGGTTCTCAATAAAAAGTCACTTATGCCGAAGCCCAAGATTCTTCTGAGAAGTAAAAGTTGTTTTTTTTTCTGCGCACACAATTGTTTCAAGGGGTAAATTCATGTTAATTAATTAATAGATTCTGCATTCTTTGTCATGCGGCAGTCACACACCTTGGTGCATGACAATCACCAGAGCCAATCTCCAAATGATTCTGGCTAAAGTGCAACAAAAATCCCCGATTCTGTTTACATCAGCGCTTGCAAACTAGAATTTGTGAACACATCCCTCTTCAGTTGCCTTCCTTTAAAATTCCCATTGAAATGCCTTTTCCCCCCTAGAATACCCATTTTGAGATCAAGGGCAGGGAATCCTGGGTTGTCCAGATTCCAATTTTAATCCATCTCTTCTCTGGCACAGAAAATGTCTGCCTCCTGAAGAGGGACAATGACGGCAGAGAATGGCATCGATTTAATCAGAACACGAACAAGTAAACAAGCCCCTGATCTTACAGATTACGGTGTGGGGGCCTGTCATGGTACCGCCAGAGAATTTTGGGGGAGAAGATCTGGCATCTGGGTTTATAACAGGGTCTCGTCCCTGTCTCTACATCACTTCTGTGGGCCTGCAAGGCATGAGACATCGTGGGAAGTTGGAGGGCTGTCATAAATGACCACAACCCCACAATTCAAAACCAGTGAGAGGGAACTATAGTAAGGCCCCCATATCTGTGGGAGACTGGTTCTAAGGCCCCTGCCGGCGCAGATACTGAAAACAGTGGATAATAGCTAACATTATACATAGCATGGTAAAAGTAAAAAAAAATCTAGAAAGTATTTTCACATGTGTTACCAGAACTGGATACTGGAGGAAGCCAGAAACCATGCTATGTGTTCTTCAGCAACAAGGATTCGGATCACAGTCTCTGGCTCTCTCTAGTGACCAGTACTGGTAATACATGTGGAAATATACCATATTTTTCCGTGTATAAGACTATACTTTTGTCTAAAGCAGTGGGTTCTTAACCTTGGGTTACTCAGGTGTTTTTGAACCACAACTCCCAGAAACTCTAGCCAGCACAGCTGGTGGTGAAGGCTTCTGGGAGTTGCAGTCCAAAAACACCTGAAAAACCCAAGGTTAAGAACCACTGGTCTAAAATCTTTAGAGGGTTGTCTTATAGATGGAAATTAGCTGAGGAGAGAACAAAAACAAGTGGAGGGGAAAGCAGGGATCAAAGCTATCCTGCAGCACTTTGATCCCTTTCCCCCCACCCTTGCTAAGCCCCACTTAGATTTCTTAATTTTGGATTAGAAAAGTGGAGGGTGTCTTATACATGGGGGTGTTTTATACACAGAAAAATACGGGTATATATTTTTTTGTTTTTTTTTCCTTTTAATATTTTTAATCCTTGTATTTTCAGACCGTGGATAAGTAAAACAGTGGATACTGATCCTGCAGATCTGGGGGCCCTCCTATAGGAATGACGCTTGTTAACAATACAAGGGATGACCTCCAAAGGGCGCGGCAGGGGGCATTCTGTCATTCTCTCTTTTGTGTCTGTCTTGTACCAGCTCTCTCCTCAGTACCACTGACGTCCTGTTCACTTCCCCCTCCCTTGCCACTGTTTTCTGCACGTGAATTACAAGAACTTTTCTTTAACAGCCCCGCTCTCTCCCCCTTCTAAACCCAAACAGAAAAGGGGCTAGACTGACCTAAATCGGATTAACTCTCCTGCACAGGATCCACAGTTTCCTTCAGGGAAAACATGGATGAAAAGAAAAGAGACAGATCCAAGCAGACTAAAGGAGCTACGGAAGTGGAGAGCAGAACCCCAGGCAGTTCCCCCCCTACCTCACCCAGCTGCTCAGCTGCGGATCCCAGCCCACCACAAGAACTGCGACATTCTGGCCACGTCATCGGTCCGTCTCCTGTGCAGGACACAAAAGGGGGAGAGGACAGTTATTTCCTCATCTGTCTCATTTCCCATCCAGGCTATCAACACTTGCGTAGAGGTAAGCCAAAACTTGAGAACATGAGGGAGAGGAGGAAAGGAACAGAGGGCCTCGAGGAAATATTATGTAAATAAAAAAACGGAGAGGGAGGGAACCATCTCATTTGCTGGTTGGGTCAGATTCAAGGGGAGAAGCTCTTGTCTTGCAAAGAAGGAATTAAGCATTAATGCAGCTAAGATCTAAAATGACATGTACTTGCTCATCCATCCATCCATCCATCCATCCATCCATCCATCCATCCATCCATCCAACTTTGGTGCCAAAGCCCTTATCCCAATATCACTGAAATGTAACTTTCCTCCCTCCTTCCCTCCCTCCCTCCACTGCTCCATTAGTGCACAGCATTATTCTAGGTGGTTAACCATATAATAATCCTGATCCCCCTCCCCTGTATCTGGCCTTTGGAGGTCCCTTCCTTTTAAGCTTGGAGAGTATACATCCCCATCATCATGGCTTGTCATCTGCGATGGACTTTTCCATCTAATAAAATAAGATTTTATTCCATCC